TATGAAGACAATTAAAAGATTTTAGAAGCAACTATACTTCAAACTATCCGTATTCCAATCTTTTACTAAAACAAGAACAAGGTAAATAAAAAAAAATAGAAAGACAAAAATATAACTACATTTACTCTAGAATAGGCTGGAGTAGGTTTTAAGGTTGACAGATACTTTCAATAGAAGAAGTTATAAAGCTATTTAAAAAGTGCTAAACAAACAGTGACCAGATTTATATTTCAAAATTACTAATAAATTCTTAGTTTTGAACAACTTTAATTATAAAATTATCTTATATTGGAAGAACCACTTCAGTATCTATAAAGACAATTGAAATGTTTTTAATATGACCAAATCTGGTTCTGGGTCTACATCTTGGAGATATTAACTTTAGCATCAACAAGGGTTTTTTTTTGTATTATAAAACAAATTTAATAATAATACTACGTAATATAGGCAGATGTTATCAGTGGTATCACAAAGGTAGATATGAAAATAACTACTAGAATTGATTGGGTTCTACTTACTGGAGATATTCGTTAACACAAACGTAATTACAAAAACCTATTCACGATATCACGATAGTGACAAAATTCTAGGAATATTGGAATCTACATTCTGGATCTATTGATTTTAGTATAATTTTATACTACAGGCTAAGATAATTTAAGTTAATTTATAGATAATATTATCTTTGAAATAAAACTTAAATGATACTTGACAAAATTTCCAATTTAGACACCAATGATTTCATATCGTTTCGTAACAACTAATTTAAAGACATTGTGGCATTATATCGATCTATAATAGATTAAGTAATTGAAAACTTTCAGGTGATAAAGCAAACCAAAATATGTATCCCGAAAGATTACGATTAAAGATTAAGACAATGAGATAATGAACGTGGATTAGAATAATTAATTTTTTTCAAAAATCTTACAGGTATACGGATTCAGATAGTTTAGAAGTATAGAAGTTGAATACGGTTAGTAAATTACAGAAAGGATTGTGCTGTTTCTATCAATTAGTTATTGCTATTTCTATTAACAGCTTTTTCAAATTAAGTACGAGAGTGAAGGACACTCATACCAGCTTTTGTTAAATGTAGAGTAAAACTTTCGACCATTTAACCTACCCGTGGTCATACCCGATGATTATCAATAAACGATTCTAGTATCTTTATTCGGGTTTCCAAATGTGATATAGTCAATAGCTCTTAATTGTTTTGGTTAGCTTAAAACACTCTGGTTGTGATAAGACAATAGCATCAACAATGGCATCAATCAACCCAACCTATTGCCATGCTATCTACTACACTATACACCTAGATACAATAAGAGACCTCAACCTAAGTCCGTATTTTGGATCCAATATTTTATATTTAGCATCAAGCCAATCTCAACTTCTGTTGTGATGTATTCTATATCGAAATCTTCACTATTTGCAGAGTTATAGTCAACAAGAAATCTTTTATTTTTAGTGTAAACCTGAATTTTTATGGTGCTGTAGGATAGGATAGAAATAAACGGGGTACTAGCTCCCGACGGAGCAGACCACTGCGACCAGATTGATCTTTTGTGCTGTAACAGACCCTAACCGAACAGAAGACATTCCGCCTTCCGAATGAAGGCCAGAATGTCGTCCGCTGAGGACCTCCTAATGTCAGAAGGGGAGAGCAGCTCTCCTTCCAATGACTTCCTCCTGGCCGAGATCAAGGCTGGGTTATGGTGCTGTACATTAACTTGTAATCACAGTGTAAGAAGCTAAGTTCACTAGAAAACTTCAACTTAAGTAAATACCATGGGACTGAAGCTTATATAGCAATATTATAATTCAATCAATTAAAAGGTTGGAACGTTATTTAAGTTACTATTAAGATTTTGAAGACTTAAATTTATGATCTTCCGATCTACTTATATCTATCTATCTTTCTATGTATAATATGTAAAATATTATAATATTGTTAATATAGAAATTTAAACTAGTTGAAAATAAGAAATTTAACAAAGATTCAAAAACTATATATGTATGTAAATTATGCACTGCTCCCTGGAGTTACTGATTCTAAGAATCACCTTTTATAATACGCTTCTTGAAAAGCATTAATAAAAAATTTGAAGGCGAGGACAATACGCCCATACCATAACTATCCAAGTTCGACGAAAAAACTTAGGGAGAAATTGAAAAAAAATAAAATAAAAAAACATGATAATAATTATAATTACTCACCTGTAAAACACCATCCCATGTTTGTATGCCATCACTGCTCTTTACAGGTATTGTGCCTTCTCCCGACTCTATTTTGGTTCGAAGTTGTCCACGCGCTTTTCTGAATGGGTTTAAATAATTTTTTGTTTAATTTTTTAAATTTTTTTAATTATTACAAATTCAAATAAGCACAACAGCAAAAATATTTTTAATGCATTTTTAGTTGATGTCAGTTTATTTAAAAGACATTCAATACGAACGAAGACGTGGACAAAAACGAACACGAGGACGAATACGGGTACGAGAAGAACGGAGCCATCGCAACCAAGAAGATGTGATGTGAACGCGATTTTGTCATCAAAAACAGATGAAGGCAATAAAAATTCACACACATAAAAAAATGTATAAAATAAAATAACGCAAGTAATTAAGAAATTATAAGAATTTATTTTTCGAACAAATTCAAAAACAATAAAAAAAAACAGAGAGGAAAAAAAGAGAAGAAAATATTGATCCACGTTTAAAACTGGAGTTTTTTATTTTTTGTTGTTGAAATATAATTAAACAAAATAGTTGTTTTTTATACAAACTAGAACATTTTCAATTTCAATTTGTATACGCCAAAAATATTAAAGCAATTTGGCAGTACTGTTGTGGAGGAATATCCTAGAACAGTGCTACCAAACATCTTGCTTTTAGATTTGCTTTGAATGTGCTTTCAAACAAAAACAATACTTAAAATTTATATTTAAAACAAGAAGAAAAAACGTTTTGGGTAGGCGTGGCAATTCCTGGGGATTTTTAGAATTTTTTAATATTTTTGCCAATTTCTTTATTGCCTCTATGACAGATACTGAACATTGTCCCATATGGTCTAGTGGCTAGGATATCTGGCTTTCACCCAGAAGGCCCGGGTTCGATTCCCGGTATGGGAAAATAGTTATTTTTGTATTAATTTTCATATACAAATTTTGTATTCATATAGTATCTGAAATTTTTATTCACCAACTTCAAACGTTTTTTCTTTAAGTTAACAAATTTCTCTACTAATTTTTTCTACAGAAAAATTTATTTTAAAAAGTAAATTTTAAAGTAATTCGGATACAAAATTTGTTTGTTTTTTACCAACCTATTTGGATGTTTGTCAACACCAGTGTCATTTTCGTGAGGACTAAAAATCCGTGCATCACCACATGGCGCTGTGTTTATATATAAATGGAAATGTACACCGGATTTTAGTTTATAAGGGTATTGCCCATTCTCTTGATTCCTCACGAAAATCGACTGATTTGCTGTTGCTATAATAAATCAAAAATTAAAGAATTGTTTTTGCGATTTTAGTTATGAATTAAAAAATTAGTTTTATTATTAAATTATTGTATTCTATTTATTGTTTAAAGTATTTGTTAAATAAATAAAAACAATACCAAAAGTTTAATGAGAATGTGTTAGCGGAAAGAACACAACAAATGTAGTTATTAAAAAATAAAAAATATATAGTAGAAGTAAAATAAATTTAATTGCATTTTTTTATTTAGATTTTAAAAGCAAAAGAAAAGCGCAATACAAAAAGAAAGCTGCAGAAATAAGTACAATAATAAACAAAAAATCGTATATTATGTATACTATATTATAATACATTAATAGTAATAGTATATGTTAAAAATAGTAAATGATAAAAATTCCAAAATTTTAAAAACAAATTAAAAATTTTGAAAGCAATAAAAACCTAAAAAAAAAAAAACAATTTTAAAATTAAAAACACAACTTAAAAATTAAAAACACAACCTAAAAATTAAAAACACAACTTAAAAATTAAAAAAATAAATTAAAAATTATTAAAAATGTTTAATTTATATATAATATAATTTAAAATGTATAATATGTATTATAAAATTTACAATGTATCATATATATATAATAAGACAAAGAATGGTGTGAAAAAAAGTTTGTGAAACGCTGATTTTAAATACTCAAAATAATATAGAAAATATTCTATTTATAAAATCTAAAGTATAGTGGTGGCTGACAACATAATTATATTTAGTGAATATTATAGAATTTATTTTTGCCATCGCTGTCAAACTATTTTTGTTTATAATTATTTAATTGGAAAAAAAAAATATTCTGCAATACGTCTGGAACGAGGGTTGGGCAATAAAATTTATTATATATTAATTCAAATCGTATAATATATCAAGTATGCAAATGGACTATTCCTCTTTAAAACAATTCTTAGTCCCTTTCAAGAATTCAACTGGATTAAATAATGCGATCTAAGAAGATTGTCACGATATTATGGATGAACTATATCATTAAATTAGATTATCAAAGGATGTGGAAAAACAGAGATGAATTAAAATATGTTAAGACTTAAGTTAAAGAGCTATAAAAGAAATTCTCTTCGAATGTGGATTCATAAAAAGAGAAATTAAATATTTGATTCTTCACCTATCAGTTCAATTTATGTAATACTCAAAAAAATATATAACTAGGCGCAAATTAATGTCTTTAGGGTATTTAACGGAATAATTTCCGAACTAGTACATTATAAGAACAATAACAATTATATCCAGTTAAAATCTTGCATAGAAGGTTGATGACCTCTTAACCCCAACTTACTAATATTAAATCTTCATGTAAATGAAAAAAATTATGATAACATTTAGTGCTATTTATTATGAGAGGACGTTTTCGCAATCGACTAATAGGTAATGGATCTCTAGGTATCACTCGATCTCGTTGTTAAAATTTTGATGTGAAAAGTATTACTCGCGATTGCCCTACCTATTAGTGGAATCAAATTTAGCTACTTTTAGTAAGTATAGTAAATAACCGGCATTGGTAAGTTGTACAAATACGTTGTTATAGAAAGAAAAAGCTCGATATAATAAAGATGAAATTTCACAAACATTTGCTAGGATCGAAGGAAAGTTTGCTTTGAATTTCGTAGGTTAACACGGGTATCATCCATTATAAACTTCTAGTACCTAGTCAGTTAACCGATAGTTGAAATAAATTATTAAAAAAAAAACTGACACAAAATTGGTCATCTTAACAATGTAAGATTACGCATATCTTTCGTGAATAGCAAATATTAAAAAGTTCCTGTTAAAAAGTTTCAATATGTATTGTTATAGCCTAAAGGGATGTGTGGAGTAGGAAAGATGAATAATCTGTTGAGCAGGAAACATGAATGGATTAGAACACGTATATATGAGAATGGATAAAATATGAGTGCGAAGAAAGATGGAAGGGGATAGTGATTAGTGAAAGTGGTATTTGAGGGATAAAAGAAATAGATGTGAATCTGGATTTATGTGGAATTTTAGGCGAGTTGGGATTTACCTCATGAAGCTATTCATCTGTTCAAATGGCTCAGTGCCAACCGCACTTATTCCATGTATAATACCAGCAAGAATTTTTATTTCTTATATCTATTATACAGTCTTGAGACTGCACCTCGGGGTTATCATATATTTGTCAGTAGAAAACTGTTAAAAGTCAGATTCAGTTATTTAACGACAAAACCTCAAACTTCTACAATAAAGATACAATGGTTAAATGATGTTAAAGACTGGTCGCAGTGGTGTTGCAAGAATAACTGGCGCCATTAAGACTATAGTTTTTGAAAATAGATATTAATGAATAATATACAAAGCATACTGTTTTTGGGACGTTCAAGCTATTTTTTGCAAGTGGCGTTCGGAGTGTAATAGATTCCATATCCACCTTCTCCCCTCAAACCACTATTTCAATTAAGCAAATGTTTTGTTGAAATAACAAAAATGTTTTCAATTTAAACGCAGAACATTTTTTTTCTCCAACTCAATATGTTAACACGCAATTATTTAATAACAAAAGTAATAACTTGTTACAATTAATGTATGTTTTTAATAGATTATATTTTTTAAATTAATTTTTTTAATTTATTTTTTTAAATTAATTTTTTTTAATACATATAACGAAAGATTTTAAAATAAAACTTAAAGCAAAATTGCAGATGACTTGGGATTATGAAATATTAAGGCATTAATGCTTTGATGAAGTATTTATAATATATTTTCCATATAAAGATATCATAGTTCATACAAGTATTATAAATGAAATCAAATGCTATTAACAAACGAAAGTAATATTTTAAATAAATTGGGAAACGGTAGAAGCAAATAAATATATTATATTAGATTAAGGATAAAAGTAAATTGCAAAAAATATAACATTTAAAAATATAATATTTATTGAAGTTACTAGAATTTAGTATCACATTACAAAGCCAAGAAGAGAAAGAATAAAAACTGAAATACTTAACACAAGTTTAAGTATGTTAGCATTTAGAAAATATCGTATGGTCAGTAAAAAAAAAAAAGAAAAGAGGTCGTAATAAAAAACTACAAAGAAATTGAATCCAAGGAGCAAAATACATACTCTGAGTGCACTGAAGTTCCAATTGAGCGTAGAGATATTTCATCAAGCACCGACGTGATACGATTTCAGCATGTGAGTCATTGAGTACAGCACCGGATACACTCATGTGTTCTCCACTAACACATTTCGTGCCAGTGGAAACAGATATGACCTGCAAACAAATAAGCACGTGGAATTAAGTCAGATTGCACTCCAAGTTAATATTTTAAACTGAAATAAAGAAAATAGTAATAAGTAATTCGAGCAAATGCAACTGTAAAGAAGCATCCTTAACGCGAGACATGTAACCCTGACATTTCTTTCATTTTCTCCTCTGCCATGCAGCCATACAGCCATAATTGCTATGGCAACTTCCGTGCTACTTCCTTTCGGAGAGCGTAATTTATGTCATAATAAAAAAAAGTATTTATGGCATAAAACACAGTTGCATTTTTGTATATAGTTTCGCCTTAATTTATGATCAGTTGGATGTGTGATACGTGTTGTATGTGATTGTTTTCGGTTACGGTGCACTTCATAACGGAAGTATTGTGGGCGTTTTATTTGTGTCACTGTGTGCATATATTAACATTAATGAGATATACTTACTTTGGCTTCATTGAAATTTAAATTTTCTGTCATTACAATGCCTGCCAGCACTTTGCGACGTGAATATGATTCTTGACCTTTAATAACTTCCATAAACTTTTCTAGCACCAAACGTCCAATAGTGTCAGCATGTATCTGTGGTAATTCCATGGATGATGTTTTATCATCTATGGGCAATGGTGCATTTTTCTGTGGATGCATCATTGGACTATATGAAATATCGCACAGCGAAGCTAATGCAGCCTTAGCAGCAGCATTTTTTGCCAATTTCTTTGATGGTCCTAAAAAATTATATACATATTTAATGTAGATATATAACATAATATAGAACAAAATTTTTTTTAAAATAATTACCTGTGCCATCGAATTTACTGTTATTTACTGTCACAGTCATTTTAAACCGACAATTATTTTGCGCACCATCAATTGTCGAACAGTCAAAGTGAACGTCATTAAAGAGTTCATACAATAGCATAACAGGTCCTTTGTCAGGCACTTTTTTCTGACCGTCAACGGTGAGCCCAACTCTGGCATCTTTATTTTTTTTTTTAAATAATTACAAAATTATTATTATTAAGAAATATAATTTTTTTCAAATTTTTCTATTTTGTTTTTCTCTGTAAATTTAAGCTTAAATGCTGTAAAGGTCTTGGAAGTTTAGAGGAATAGATTTTTTTTAAGGATATTAAAGACTTTGACAATATAAACAATACATAACAATACATAAAAAATAATATACAAATTGTAATAAAATAAATATAACAAACAATAACAGTAACATAAATTAAATGTAAAGTATTATTAACTCACAAATAATTAATTAAGAATAGATTTATACATTTAAATATAAAATAACAAAATTGCATGATAATAAGAATAATTTAAAAAAAAATTCTATATTTTATTTATAGTTTGTTTAACTTTAATGCTAATTCAATGTTTTGTTGTAATAACAATTTCTTCAAAGAATATTTTTAATAATAATATCAATATTGGCAATATTCAAGAAATATATTTTTCACATATTTTTAAAATAATATAATAAAATATATAACAAGAAAACATAAAATAAAATAAAATCAAACATTTCTTAGCTCACTTTACTTGCAAACTTTCGGCTATCTATTATCCGAAATAGTTTTTTTTTATCCAGTTGTCACAGGTTCTTCACAGATCATTTGTTTTTATTTAATCCATCTTTAGTGCTGCTTTCTGACACATTTCTGTTATTGATAATCTTTTTTTTCTTCTTTTTTTTCCTTTTTCTTTTCTTTTTTCTCCTTTTCTTATTTTTTTTCTTCTGTTTTTCTCCTTTTTCTTCTTTTTTTTTTATATTTCTTTTTCATATTTAAGTGCTGTTAGCTGTCACTTAGTCAAAATTTTCTCTGTTTTTTGTGCTTCTATCTTGATAGTTCAGTTAAAATTTTTTCAATGCACATTCTTGAGTTAAGGTTCGCGTTTTAACAGTATTCGTAACTTAAGTGAAGAGATCTTCTTCAACCTTCAATAGTAATTTAACTGTAGGAGTGTTTGAGATAGTTTGAAGAAATACAAGATAACACAAAATATACTAAAAGTTATAAAAAGTTCTAAGAATATATATAATCAGATCACCAATTTAAAAAATCAAAATGTTATTTGATTTGTTATTCATAGAGGACTAAGAAAAGATGGTAAAGATAAGAACACCGCAATTAACGAGGCATCAAATACGAGATGCTCAAATAAGAAAAACCATATACACTACATCATCTCAATTATTTGCATCCGCATTGATGTAAATATTATGGGCCGTAGATCAGACAAGCTACGAGTGAAATACACGTAACTTTCATTTCCTCAATCTCATAAAATAATTGTTTAAATTAAGTTTCTAATTAGAAGTTGAGATAAATTTAACTTAAGGGTTTTTTGAAACAATACTATCGAAGTGTATAAAGCTTCAACTACATTAAAGCTAATATTACTGCCTTAATGTATAATAAATCGTTATTAAAAAAATTTTCTATTAGAATCATTTACTGCTATAAATGTATTTCAAACAAGAATTATCGATTAACATTTTGATTGTTTAGGACGTTGTACTTAACCAGAAACAAAAAAAAATTATTTT